AGGAACAGGGGGTCTGCTATGTGCTGGGTCTATATTCTTGTACATTGATTGACACCTGCTGTGAGCATAGTGTCAATGCAGCACAACATTGTGAGCTGGGTGTGAGGCACCAGGTATGGAAATCTGCTGAACATTTGGCATTGGGTCTGAAACCCTGAATTGATGGTTGACGTGGTTGCCTGTTGCAGCTGCCATTTTTGAATTTGATTACATTGCTTTGGTAGCCCTGGGGACTGTAGAGAACGGTGGAAGAGGAATGACAGGTTCATGAAATAGTGCAAATGTTGCCCTTCATGTGACTCTCCGCTTCCTCTTCAGTGTCTTTGTGGCATGATGCCTGCATTATAGGCATTTGATAAAACATGTGGTGGACACGCTGCAACCCAATTCATCCAACGTAAATCCAACAGAATAGTTGTCCAAAATTTCTCCATTGGAGGATGTTGTGCCAAAGTAACATGTCGCACTGCCTCTCAGATGAGAGTACCACCCGACTAGAGACAGCTGTTGCATGGGAGGCAGGTCAAAAGGCACACACAAGGAGTTTTTTTGATCAAGGGCACCGAAACGTGCATAAAAAATACCACTAGCTGCGTACCTCCTCCAAGAACAGTTATCGCGGGAAGTGAACATGCCTACAAATGATATAACTGGTGTTCAAGTCTCCTTAAGGATGGACTTTGTGGATATGCTCTCCTCAGCCTCAATACTATATCTGAGTTGTTCTAGACTCAGTGGGTGGTTTCTTACCATGAGAGGCATCTGTCATTGCAATAGAAGATTTGCGCAGATTGTAAAATTGCCTGGTTGCTTGTCGAGTGTCCCTGTGTAGCTGTTCGCCTCGCTTAATAACGATATGGGCCCTACCCTACTTGGGATCCAGTCCAACGTTTGGTGGCATCCATTTTGCGGAGACCATGACAACACAGACCTTGAAGCATTAGAACGGTTGTTGCGGTCTCCAACCTCTATCAGTTGCATTCGATTCATATTTTGCTTGTATAATGCTCGGGTCACCAACAATAAGCCCATTATGGCTCCATTATGCGCCACTCAGTTGCGACAAGCTGGTGCCCCATGAGGCCCAGAGTTCTGCAGTATGGGACTTCAGTACATGGGAACCATGGCCGGTCAGAAAGGAATCGTATGAGAAAGGGGTCTACCGGGGCGGTATCGGCAGCCTAGACTATGGCGATAAGGCCCAGGTTCAACGACAGCCGGGGCGATACGATCTCGTAACCTGTCCAACTAAGCAACGCAGCTAGGGAAGCACATCCGAAGTCGCGCGAGCCGTCGGGGCTCTGCGCCACCCCCAGGGGCAGCGGGGGCCCCCAACGCCACGCATCGCAGACCCACTGGCAAGCGACCCGCGCAACTCATTCGGGGACAGACAGGGGAGGACCCTGCGGTGAGAAACTGGAGCAATGCTCATTGCTGAATCGGGCGGCTCCGTGGATATGCATTGGTCGGCGATGGAGGGGTTCAGCCGCACGGTGGCCACTTGTACCCGTGCGGGGATAGCCCCCTTCTGCCGGGGGAAAATTACCGCCTCCCCAAGGCCTTTCGGCCTGCCCGCTTCATTTTCGGGCGAAGGGCTTGTCGGTCCAGAGCCCCTGATTTGAATGCCCCAGGCCCGAGCTGTTGGGTCTCGATGGTCCGGGTGGACGCAGGCAGCGCGGAAGGCCGATCGCGGCAATCTGAGCTGGTGGAATCACGGGGCAGGGACTCCACGCCGAGTTGACTGGCGGAGGTTTGCGGCGGAGCCCCTGTGGGTGAAACGCATCGGCCCGGAACCCTGGGCGGGACTGCGCGGGGGTAGCAGGGACGGCAGGCTCCGTGGCCTGACGGATGGTTCCCGGGAATGACTCAACGGGGGCCTGGTGCGGGTGTGGTGTGAAAAGGTATCCGGATATCACTGGCAGAATCGGGCAAGATCGGGCGCCATCAATTTGGCCTGTATGTTACTGCGCCATGAGCCACACGGAAAAGGGCCAGTTGGGGTGCACGTTTTCTGGACTGTTATTATAGGGTAAGAGGGGTCATTATAGAGTAAGAAAGGTATCAGTTGATCAGAAATTTGATTTGTAAGCGAATGGCGTTTTCCGTCTTTCATTTGACAAAGAATTGAGGATTTTAGCGGGATTATTCGCTGGGAATTGAGGGGCCACAGGGAACCAGGCTGTCCGATACGCCTGAGAAAGGACTAATTTGACTGATGATCAGTCATGGGGCTGCGGACGGGATGTTGAGATGCGCGTGCATGGATTCCATGTGGATTTCGCACTACGCGATTGAGGAAGCCCTCCGTGTCGCTTGTGAGCAGAGCAAGGATGGCCAGTTCTTAGGGCAGCTCCCGCATTGATAAGATTTTAGAGTGGCACCACGCCCAGTCTCCTCCGGGGCTTAATGAAGTGCGGGATTTCTGCAGCCAGCTGGAGCAATTACAGGCCGCATGACTTGCGGTGCCAAGCGGGCAGGCGTCAGGTTCAAGTGGAGAGCTACAGGAAGACAAGAGGTGGAGGCGAGCGTGGGATTTGCACAGCGCCCTCATGTCGGTGTGGGAGGATTCGCTGGCAGACGACCAGAAGATCTTCGATGTGGTCCTTCACGCCGGAATGGGCTTCCAAGCGTCCCCCGACATGCAACGTTTGGCCCCGGCTGTCAGGGCTGAGATTATGGCACAGTTTGAGACCATGTGTTACATTGGTCTCAAGCCAGCGTGGGATGCGGCCCAAAGAGACAATGAGTTATCGCAGTTGTGGCTGCTGAACAACAAGCCGGTCGTTTGGCGGGCCATGGAGACGATTGAAGACGATATTCGAGCGGCCAAACTAAATGTAATCGATGACTATTTCCACCAGCGGCTGAAGGTACTATCACTGGAGGAAGCATTCCGGGAAGACGGGAGGGTGACGGCGCCGGAGGCGGACAGGGCGTTCCTGATGCGTTTGCCGCCGGCCCCTCCCAGGCGGGATTTGAGGTCACCATCGCTGAGGAGAGCTTTGGCGGAGTGGTATGCATGTGACATGGCCATACAGGAGAAGTGGAGGCTTGATGCTGTCCGAGTCGAAGTCCAGGGATGGCTTCAAGGGCACAAGCCCAGGCCTGACTTCGACCGTGAGGAGGCGCCACCGGCAGAGAAGCATGGGTGACTGGGGTAGCACATGGTGCAGGGTGCGGCTGCCGGGCGTAGGATTTTTTGATGTGACTTGTAAATATTGACTAGACTGTATATGACATCAAGGGGATGTTCTAAGGGTATGCGGACGGGCAAAAATGTGATATGGGTGAACTGAGATGGACATTGTGAACGAGAAAGGGATCAAGAGGGTTTAGTGAGATGACCAGTGGGGCGGTGCGAAGGTCAGGCTGTAAGGGGTATCCAGATGTGTGGTTGTGGGGAGATCCGGATCCCCAGGTGGACCTTATGGTGGACCTTTTGCATTTTGTCGTATGACCCTGGTCAGGGCAATGTATAAAGTGGTGGGGGTGCGCATTGTAGCCGCCCCCGGTCTGTAAGAGCATTTGTCTTGCTACCGGAGTACCTGAACGGGCCGCCTCACGCCATGAGGGTGGGACCTGACGGTCGGGCGGGTGATTCCCTACGTAGGGATAGACCCAGCGTCCTGTGCGAAGTGACTTCGGTCGCATTTGACGTGGTGAATCGGTGTACGGTTTCTTCCGCATGTTGAATTCCATTGTGCCCACCCCGAAGGGTCGTGCCATGCTTGGGCACAGATCTTTACGATAACAAGATAACCAAGTTGTATTATTGCCTCATTAACTTGTTGAGCATATATTACATGGGTAAAACGATGTGCAGTTCTCAGATTCACTGCAGAAAAAACATGATGCTGCACACAGACAACCAATCCTTGAATTTGGTTAATTAATCCTCAAGTGGTCCCTTAAAAAATGCCACGAAACATTTCAGTGGGAAGTACAATCCACTGGCCGGCCCAGAATGAGACCCTGACTCTCGTGATATTTCCAGCAGCTCATTATGTTGGCACTGCGTGCACAACTCCACTTGCAAGCTGATGCAATCGCACAAACAATACTCCAGAAAACGGACGCGAACTCTCCCTCTTTTGGCGGACTCCTCATGAACCGAACGGACTCCAAAGCATGAACCCCATAAAGTAGACCGAGCAAACCGTCTCATCAACCTGTCGTTTGAATCATCATCACCATTTTTTACAGAACAAGGCAATGAGTGTTTGAATCACAGTACAATAGGAGTCCCTATATAGCGCCCCCCCGTGACATGGCCAAAAGAGGGGCGCTACTGGGGACCGGGGCTGCTATTGTGTCAATGGGATACCCTGAGCAACTGGTGTGAAGGGTACCCTGGCCGCCAGTGAAGGGAGTACCCTAAACTGCTGGTGTAGGGGGTATCATGGCCGCCGGTGTAGGGGGTACCCTGGCTGCCAGTATAGGGTGTACTCTGGCCGCTGGTAGGGGGTACCCTAACTGCCGGTGTACGGGGTACCTTGACCGTCAGTGTGGGGGGTACGCTACCCCCAGCCTACTAGGTCCATACCGGCTTTGGGGGCTAGCGACTGTCGCAGCGCTGAAGTCGCGGGCGCTGGGGCCTGTGAAACAAAGCATTACGGGAACGGTGACGAGCCGTAAAGGGAGTCGCTAAACTTAGACAGGTCACTAAATAGGGGTCGCTAAACCAGACCCCTGTACTAGTTTGAGGTCCCACTGTGCAACAAAGCTGCATAAGGTACTGCATAAATGGTGACATGCCAAAAAAGGGGGCGCTATTGGGGGTCGGGGGCGCTATTGGGGGGCCGCTATATAGGGACCCCTACTAGTACGGTGATGGCCAACAAATCGCATTAAACGCCAGCACAAATAGAGACGGGCGGCTGGTGTGGCGTTGCCCAGGCGCATGGACCTCTGCGGAAGAAGACCGTGATGGTCCCCACCTCAGCGAACGAGTCCAGGGCCTCCGCGCACGAGGCGCTGGACGCATCCTGGTCCCACACCCCATGCTGACCGGACGCATCGCGTTCAAGCTCCAGCAGTGCATCAGACCAGCTGCCGACCGCGGCTGGCGGCCATTTGGTGGCATCGGCTGGGATGGCCCCGTCCCGGGGTCGCTGCAGGGTATCTTGACGCTCGGTGCGTTGACGTATCCAGTCATCTTCGGGGGATCTCCTGTTGATGGCTTCCGTGTGGATAATCGAAGGGTGAGGTCGCTCTTCCGGTTGGATGGAAATTCAGCACAAGGATGTGCTGCTGTTGATGTTCGTTGTTGTTCCTGATTCATTGAAGCATTAGCTCCAGGAAGTACTGTGCCTCCCTATCCTGGTAGCAACATTCACTTACGTTTGCCACTTTGGAACTGATCTCCTGATTGGGGCCAGGGTGTTGTCTGGGGGTTGACAGGCAGTGGTGACCTGTTTGTCTGGTGGGATTATGTGTAAGGAATTAAGGAATCCACCATTCACGGTCAAATCTGTGAAATCATGGCAGCGTGCTTCAAGGGGATGTGCTTGATGAGCATGTCCACTTTGCACACAATGACGGCACGCCTGGAAATGTACACTGTCCAACCCCTCCCCGTATCAGACGTCTGAAGTTCAATCAGTGGACTGCCACTGGAGATTGTGGATGATGGACCATTGCACATTCATGAAAATCCCAAAGCTTATACATCAGTTGTGTCAACCCACAATGTTTGACTTTTGCAGATTAACCCATTATCAGCAGGTCATCGATGTTCTGCATCTGAGCTTACTGATGTTCTGCATCTGCGCTTATTGCTTTGTATCTTATTGTATCCATTTGTGATGGGCCCGTGTTCTTCTAGTATGCACATCCACCCATTGCTCATGAAGCCAAACTGAATCGGAGCAATCCTTGTTCACTCAGCAGCCACCAGAAGTGTGCAAGTGTTGTCCCACAATTGCTGCCATTGCAATTCCTAAGCAACTCGTTCTGCTTTTGCTGCCTGTGAAATGCTTGTTGGAATGGTTTTCCTTAGTCCACCTACGCAATTCTCACAAATGCAGACCCATCTTTCTTCTTCTGCTTGCAAAATATTTCAGAATATTTAAGAGTCAAGGTGCAACCCACGTCCCAACAGAAGACACTTAGGGCCTTGTTGCTGCAGCTCTGTAAGGAATTTTGGATGTTGGCACTGCAGTCCTAGAAAACTTTTGTGCTGATATGCAGGCTTGCCCCAACGCACATGACTTTCATCAGACCAGGCAAAGTGGTGTGCAGACCAAGAAGCGGGGGGTCGTTAAGCAGCACAACTATGTGATCCAGAGGGAGTGCTCCAAGCTTCTCAGAAAGTTCAAATATGTCCCCCCAGCCTCTGACATGGCCAAGAACATCGTTCGTGAGACACTTGACTACTATCACAATATGCTGCGTGTGGAGAGCAATCTGTCCCCAAGGAATGGTGCAGCTATGCTTGTCCGTGTTGCTAAATTTGCACAAAGCAGCTCTCTGCATGACTACATCATCGAGACACAGCAGCCCTTTCTGGGTGGAGTATGCAAGATGACAAATGGACGGCTATTTGCTTTGAGACCTCAGGAAGTGTCCAATGTTGTGTGGGCTTTGGGTGAGCTTGGACCAGGCATCCTTGACGTTCGCATGGGCTCAGGTATGGGCATTCTTGAGGTTCTTTCTTGGGAACTCCCGATGTGGATATGAATGGTGTTCAGAGGTGCACACTGGCCATTTTGTATTGCCATTTTGTATACTCTGTTTGTGTTGCACATGTCAAGGCCTTGATGTGGAAATCATGCGTATTCTCGATGTTGACTGATTTGTTTGATCGGTTGATGCGATCAGGCACAATTCGGAATCTGTATGACAAGGCCATGCGCCAAGCCAGCGACTGGAAGGTGCTTGAAAAAGTACGCTGTGCAGACCTGGCGTTGCTGGTGATCGGCATTGCAAAATTGGAGGTGGAAGACATCGATTGGGCGATGGAGGAGATAACAGCCACGATCATTCGCAAACTGGTGAAGTTCAAGGACCCGGACCTTCCAGGCCTGCTTGGGGGACTGGCGTACATGGGGTGGAGGGACACGAAGGTGCTGCTGCCCGCGATCGCCGTGGAATGCAAGAAACGTGTCGGCAGGTTTCAGAGCCAGGACCTTGCCAAGTTGCTGTGGGCCTTCGCAGTTCTTGAATTTCGTGACATCCAGCACCTGCTTTGGATCACGACAACGCAGACGTTGCCACACCTGAGGGAGGTCCAGCCACAGGAGATCGTCAAGATCGTGTGGGCGTACGACCATCTGCATTACTACCCTGGGGAGTCGTGCCTGGCCAAAATGTCCAGGCTGATGGCGCCCAATGTGAAGAAACTCGTGGCCTCCGACATCGCCCACACTCTTCAAGCCTTCGCCAACATGGGCCTCGAGGAGAAGATGGTGGTGGATAGCGTCTGCGACTGCATCATCAGGAACCAAATCGAAGGAGGTCTGTCGACAAGGGACGCCGCTGTCTTGGGATGGTCCCTTGCTGTATTGGACGCTCTAGACAAACGGGTGTTTGTCTCCCTGCGGAAGCCTCTGGCTGAATTCGACCCTGAAACCCTCCCTGAAAAGCACAAGGTGGATGTTTACCGCTTCTGCCTGCACCTCCAGGTGTTCAGGCCACAACTGGCGGACATGGTTTCCACAGATTCCATGGCAGCCTGCCAGGGCGCTTGGATCGAGCAGGTGTCGGAATGGGAACCGCCTGGACTAGCCTCAGAGGTGGGCCCCATCATGGAGGTGCTTGGCTTTTCATGGATGGAAAAGGAAACTATCGGGGATGGGCTGATGGCTGTGTCAAGCGCACGGCGAGGGGACCTGACCCTGGCGGTGGAGATTGTCACGCCTCCGAACTGCTACGTCACGTACATGCCATCTGAGAAGCCGCACACAGCAGGAAGCTTCCTTTGGCGTGAGAGGCTGCTGATGGCGCTGGGTTGGCGGGTGCTGAGGGTTGACGGCGGTGCCTGGGAAGACATGGCGAATGACCAGGAGAGAGAGGCGTACCTAAAGGAGCGGATTCAACCGCTTGTGGGATTGACTGTTGAGGGTGGTGTAGATGGCCAAGACACGCTCTTGGACCAACCCGAGGCTGCTTGATTGGTTAGTACTAAGACCCCCGAACATGAGCACTTTTTTGGCATTGGTGTATTTTTAATCGGTTCTTGGCCCCTGCATTGCATCCACGGCCCCTTCGCAGTCGGTGCTCTGCATAAGTTGTGGCACGGCAAGTGGACACACATGAGGACGTGGTTGTTTCATCCGCCAACTCCGCATGCACCAGCCCTCAGCCCACTGCGTCAACTGGCCACCCCAGTAGCGCGTGCAGTGCCACGGCTGTGTTTCACCACGCTGGGAATAAATTCAACCACGTCGGGGACAAATCCCTTCCTTCCTTTGCAACCCGCACCGTCGTTGATGGAATGCTGCCTTTCATCGCCTGGATAGGGAGGTGATAGGCGAGGTACAGGGCCATGACTGTCACGTTTTGGGACATGAACATGCAAGGGTGGTCTCATTCCCTTGCCGTGGCATGCGGATGGGCCAGCACATACCCACGCCATCCGCACTGGAAAGCAGAAGCTAGGGGACTGGCATGCACGCTCCCAAACTCCTGTCTACACAGGAGCATGGACACCGACGGGCACATTATCTATTCCAAACGTCCCGTCGCATCGCCTCGTTCACCCGATTCCACCAGGCCCACATTTGACCCTCACTCCCCTATGAATTCGACAACCAAAACCGATGGCGGGTAGCGTGCAATCTCCTGCACACCAAATGCCCGCATACGCTTTATGCACCGGAATTTCCATGCACCTCCACACCGGCACGAGCAACTGTCATTTCATCCTCTCGAAACAGGTCAGTTGGCCGAATCCCTGAGCCCCAGAACCCTGCAGCGACCCAAAGCACCGCTCTCGGTTGCCGCAGTGCGCCCACACACAACCCTCACGCAGGCTCCGGACAGCGACCATGGCTCCAACTCTACAACTACAACTCCCATTCATTCCATGTCTTCACATTCCCACCGTGCCCACACGGTCTGCAGCTCTGCTGGCTAGGCGTACCCGCCAGAGCTGTACACACCGTACCGACCCGCAGCGCCGGCCGCCGGCACTACAGATGCCACCCCATTGACATGTTGTCAAACGCGCTGTGGCCATTCCCACAGTACTGCGCCTCCTCTGTGTTGGCCGAGTCCGTCTTCCTGCTCCGGAAGGCCCCACTGAGGGTGCGGAAGAACCCTCTCCCGCTGCTCGACTGCATTGGGCACCAACCAGGGGAAGGGTCATTAGTCAGCTGCCAGTGAGCGCACACCCGCCGCAGGGTTTCCCAGCTGTGCCGCCATCATGGCGACTGTGCCCGGGCCTACCAGTGTCTACCTGATGCCATGGTCAGACTGTTGCTTGGTGGGGGGACAGTGGACCTGGGGACCCCACCAACTGCATGTGCAAAAGACCAACCTCAAACCAGCAGCCAGCAATCAGCACAATGAAACACAAGGGTATCAGGGCAGAGCACAGCATACAGTGAATTGGAAATGCCATGAGGGCACTACAACAGCTTCAGTTCCAGCTGACAATGCAATGCTTCCAGCACAAGTGGGCGACAGTCAATACAATCTTTCCGGGCCATCCAAGCTACCCTCTGGCTGTGCAGGCTGCAGACACAGTTGGGCACGCAGGGAATGTGATCTGCTATTTTGCTGTTATGTCAGCAACTGCACAACATCAACATCATCAAGCCCACTATCGTCAGTGGTGCCAGGTGACATTTCTGCACCCAGGAGATGAATTTTCGAAAGCATGGGATATGCAACAGGCAGAATCGTCTGAAGCACTCGTGCTGGCATCAGAATGGCTTCTGAATACCTTGTGGAGTGCCGGACCCTGTTGTGTGGGGATGTTCCATTCGGCTGTTGCATGAGGTGAATAACTGGGGATGCCTTGGACATGGAAGCCCCGAGTGTCAAACGCTGTGCAGGCAGTGCCAAACACATCCTGGAGGATGCTGTATGCCACAGCGGTGTAGTCCTTCAGGCAGGTTGTGTCCTTCAGTAGTGTGTAAAGTGCCTGGTATGTGTTCGACTCGTGTTCCTGGAAGGCGGCGAGCACCGCTGCAACCCACGATGGAATATCAGCTCTGGAATGAAGTGTGTGAGTTGCGGTAGAACAGTTACAATCCACAAACAACAGAACATTTATACCTTTTAGTGGAGAGAGCAAAGAAATTCAAAAGATGCCAGAAACTGAGGGTGGACTTCCATTTGTCAAGCTGATTATCGGTGGATTAAGATTGCATGAACAGCAGGTGACAGTAGGGTTGCAGGGTGGGGCTGACGATGACGTGGCATGGTGGCTGTGGGGTGACGCCAAGAACTGAGAAACAGGGAGCTGGCGAGCGATTTACTGGCCAATCACAACGTGTCTGGGGATGCAAGCTTCAGGTGTAGACAACTGGTTATGCACTCCCATCACCACGACACGCTCTTCTGCTTTCGTAGTTGTTATCAGACAACGAGCAGGCTCAACATGAGATGGCGTTCAATCTGCACACTGTGCCCTTCAATACCCAGAAGCAGTATTCAATCGATGACGAGTGCATTTTCTGCAGACATGGTTGATAATCCCACCATTTTTCTTGCTCTCCTTGTGTTGCAAGGTTCGAAGAGTCGCTTCGTGCTTTTCGCGAAGCTTGGCACTGCCAGCCTCCAGCCCCTGCTTCTGCCTTTCTGCAACAGCTGCACACAAAGAACCTGGGCTTCAGTTGTGAACACAGACCAGCTGATGCTGAGGTGGCAATTCATCCACTATGTGCACTGAAAATTGAAGCACAGAACGTGATTAGGCACCTTCGTACTTTTAAGCACTTGTAAGGGAGCACAGGTCAGGTGGCGGTGCCAAATCCCGCGGGAATGTTCGTGGCCCTGTGTGTGCCAAGATGTCTGTTGAATCATCGAAACACAGGTCAGACAATGGAGCAACCCCTCCTGAGCAAGGATACAGCGATACAATGTGTATATGTCTGACCCAATCTGTGTTTGTATGCGAAAACCACACAACTGAATGCGGGCAGATTGACAACGCAGTGCACAAACGCACCATACAGGTTGTCCACAGTCCGCCTTCTAGAGTCCAGCTCCAGGCGCAGCGCCTCCAGTTTCCTCATTCGAGACTGCATGCGCATTCAGTGTTCAATGAGTTGTAGCTGGCAGGGGACTGCAACATCAGTAGGCAGTTCTCTTGACCACTGACATGTTCAACAAAAAAGCAAATGCGCTTCTGCTCTTGTTCTTCTCGTCTGCTCTACTCCTCTCTCCATAGCATGCCCCTCAAGGGGAAAGAAGTAGCCAGGGCCAAACCTGTCTCAGCTGCAAAGTCTTCCTGGCACCTGCTTTGTTGGACATTGGAGAGCTGTCAAGCCACCATTGAGTTACACTCCTACAGCTGTCCATTATCTGATTGCAAAACCTCCTGGGAGAAAATGGAAACAACACAGCACTCCAGACAGACGTTTTATTAGCCAAGACTCTGCTTCGCCGGGACAATCGTCTGTGGCGAACTTGATGTTCCAATACCATGCAGGGAAATCTGGAGTGTTTTTGATATGGGGCAAAAGCATTCAATATCCCAGACGCCTTCATTTCCTCGCTTGTTGCTCGAAACAAGACCGCCAAGGTCCACAAAGGTGAACGCAACTACAAGCCTGGTGCTTCCAGTCCTCACTCTCCTGGCCTCCTGCGGCGCCGCAATCGCGTGAGCCAGGCCAAGCCCATATCCACACACAGGGCACCTAGAGCCCTGCAAAGCAGAAAAGGCCCCGCTGTATCCTTGCTCAGGAGGGGGTGCTCCAATGTCCGACCTGTGTTTCGATGATTCAATACACATCTCGGCACACACAGGGCCACGAACATTCCCGCGGGATTTGACACCGCCACCTGACCTGTGCTCCCCTCTCAAAACGCCTCCCCAGCTGGGGCCCCACCTGCACGTCCAGAAATGCCGCCAGCCAGGCTTCCAGCGGCTCTGACACCTCCTCGTCCAGGCGCTGCTTCAGGAGAGCGTCCGCCGAGGCGAACCGGTCCAGCTGCACACTCTGGCCGATCAGCTTCGGGTCGGGGTCCTCGGGGACCGCCTGGCCGCTCGGCGTGAAGTCGAACGTGCGTGGCAGCGAGCACAGCATGATGTTCCGGGTGTCGGAGATCATCTCTGCGGGCAGGGGGGCGGGGGCATTTAGGCGCCGAGCGTGGCCGTGGCGGGCACATCGTTCGGAAGGGGTGAGGTACAGATGCTCGGGTGTGCCAGCATGTCGTCCCAGCTCCAAAGCGTGAGTCAGGCGATCACCTTGCAGCGGCTGGGATAGATTTCTTGAGAGGGCCAGGGGGGTGGGGTGGGGTGGGGGGCGCGGCTGACGGGAGACCCGTGTAAACGCCCAGTCGCCTGCAAACACCGGCAGCGGGGTACCCTACTTTCCGCAAAACGAGGAGTCGCTGGGCGCACGTGCGTCAAGGGGGAGATTGCGGCGGGCGAGCGCGGGGACCCACCGTGGGCGTCCTTCTGCATCCTTTTCACGTGCGCTTCGACCTTCCTCAGCTGGTACGCAAACTTCTCCGCGTCCCGCATCATCATCTCGTTCCGCGAGTTGGAGGTCACCACGAAGCCCTTGTCGTTGGACGCCACGTTCCACTTTTGCTTCAGCTGTGACGCGCGCCATACCGATCGACCCCATCAAATCAGAATAAAATCACCGCAAAAGTGCACTCCCCGCACCTCAACCCGTCCCAGCTGCAAGCAAACAGTCCCGGTGGATCAGCAGGCGCGCCCCATGCCGCGCGACACAAAACCCAAGCCCCCGGCAAAGTCACGATATTCCAACCAGCGCCAAGCGTGGACCCCTCACCGCCTCATTTGTCCGGCGCCACCCCACGCCCATCCTGACCACCCCCTCTCAACGCAACCACCCGTTCCACCGGCTTCTTCGACTCTCAAGCGGGCGCAAAGGCGCGATGGGACGCAGCCGATCGCTCAGCCCGATCTCGCCGCCCCGGCGCACAGACGGGCCGCAATCCCAAGACAGCGACGCGCCGCTGACTCCACCCTCTGCCGCCCTCTCCTCCGGGCCCCCTCTCCCGCCGGCCTGCCTCCCGGCCGCGGTGGTCCCCACCTTTTTGTCGGGTGCCGAGCCCCTTGGGCGCTGATGTAGACCGCTCGGCGCCCAGGATCGTGGCCAGTGATACATTGGTAATGGGATCGTGAGTACTGCAGGTACCTAACAGGCAGGTGGCAGTCGGACTCTGGGCCCTATGCGGGGGACAGTTTGGCGTGGGGTGTGGGAGGGATGTTTCACGGTGGAGCGTTGGATGGGAGATTCAGGCGCGCTTCGGCTCCTGCGCTCGCTGGGCCGGTGTTCCGCCCTTTCTTGCATCAGGCAGCCCGGCAAACCTTTTTGAGATTTGGTCCAGAGCACGACGCCGGCGTTCAGCGCACCTGTGCGAGTCCTTTGATCGATCGATCAGAGTCGAGGATCGATTCTTGCGAAGGGCCCTCGGCATTTGATCGTTTCGGAGGTGGCTAAATTCCTCAGTGGGAATTCGCGTTCGAAAGGCAACTTTCTAAGGTGGGATGCGTGCTTGTGGCGATATCGCGCAGTCCTACAAGGATGGGCTCCACGGGGTCGCAAAAGTCTGCAGGGACGTCGCATGCATAACGGCTGTGAAGCCGAATTGCTCTGAAGTATGGTTGCAGCGAAGCGGCTATCTCTGCTGGGCACCTTTTAGTCCGCCTGCAGGCGGACAGGACAATGATCGACTGAACGCATGATACCCAGCATTTAAGCAGGCCATAATTACTCTGCACCATAGTGGTTCATTGCGCTTCTGCATAGTTGTGTTCGAGCGGGTTAGGTGCACACCGTTGCCGAACACCTGCTGCGTGGGATGCCCTGAGTTTGACGGCAGGGCAATTTTGGCGAAAAATAGTACCGGAATGCATTCAATTCCAATGCACGAGGTATGTGTTGAATGCAACTGACGTTGAAAATTGCTATCAAAGGGTGTATCAGTTGTCTGGAGGAAACGTAACTTTCCTTGGCTATCAATGTGATAGCATTGAATTCTATCACACCAACCTGCTCGAACAGATCTATTCCCAAGGGTGAAGGCACTGTAACAGGAAAATGTCCTTAGCCAGGCTGTTAAAAGTTTCTTGCTGCTCACTTAAAAGCAGCACCGTCAGCAGCACATTGCCCTAAAGTTAGACGGGGCAAAATGAAATGGTAAATAGCAGAGACACACCACAAGAGAAAATTCCAATTGTGAATGACTGAATGACTTTATCCTGTGCCAGTTTCATTCCGACTTGTTTCTCAGTGCTGTAAAGATCGGTGCCGACCGATGGCACGACCCTTCGGGGCTTGCGCAATGGAATACGACATGCGGAATCGATAACACCGCGTCGTATAGGGATGAGAATCGCTTCACACAGGACGCTGGGCTTATCCCCCGTAAGGGAACCACCCGCCCGACCTTCAGGTCCCACCCTCAGTCAGAGAAGCGGCCTGTTGAGGTGCACCGACCGTAAGGAGCAAATGTCTTACAGACCGGGGGCGGCTACAATGCGCACCCCCGCCTTCTTATACATCTCCCATGTTCTCTCATACGACAAAATCCAAAAAGGTTCACTCAACGGTCCAAGGGTGCATCCAGATCTCACCACAGCCTCACATCTCGATTCTCTATCCTTCTGACCCGACGCTCCACCCCACCGTCCAATTCACCAGACTCAACTGATCCTACTCCCCCTTAATATGTCACTTTCAACGCAAAAACATCTCCCAGGTGTCCTCCCGTCAACCCCTGGGCATCCCCTTGATCCCCATATACGGTCCAGTCAGGGTCTACCTGTCACATCAATAGAAAACCTACCCGGCCGCTGGGTCCCGCGCTCCGCGACCGCACCGTCACCCATGCTTCTCAGCGGAGGGCGTCTCCTCGCGGTCGAACTCGGGAATGGGCTTGTGGCCCTGGAGCCACCCCTGAATCTCCACTCGTATGGCGTCAAACCTCCACTGCTCCTTGATGTTCATGTCGCGGGCATGCCATTCACCTATGGCCCTTCGCAAGGCAGGCGAACGAAAATCTTGTCTTGGGGGTGTGGGCGGCAGCCGCATCACGAACGAGCGATCTTCATCCAGACGACGCAGCTCGTTGTCCTCCGCCAGCGCTTCCTCCACTGAGCTTGCCGCCAAACGCTGGTGGAAAAACTCGTCGATGACCCTCAGCCTCGCTGCCCGAATGTCATCCTCAATATTTGTAAGCGCCCTCCAAATCACAGGCTTGTTGTCCAACGCCCGCAGCTCGGAGACCTCCACATCCCGCCGTGCTGCGTCCCAGGCTGGCTTGAGTCCCATGTAACACATGGTCTCAAACTGCATCGCAATTTCTGCCCTCACAGCGGGGGAGATCTTGCACATGTCCAGCGAAAGCTGGAACTCCATGCCCGCCGTCTGGACCGCAGCGTATATATGTCGGTCGTCTGAAAGAGATGCCTCCCAGACTTCCAACAAAGCCTTCTGGAGGTCTCGCGCCCGCCGCCATGCCGTGTCCTCCTGGGGCTGTCCGTTCGACCCCGATGCATGCACCTCAGGAGCTGCCAGACGCGCCACCTGGAATTCTTCCAACTGTCCGCAGATGTCCTTGACCTCATTCAGGCCCGGCAAGGCCTGCGCATGCCTCCACTCCAGTACCTTGTCCAGGCAAGGAGCATGCGAAGGGATGCTCGGAGCGCCAGACATCTTGCACAGCAAACCGGCGGCACGGAGGGCTGCTGCTCACGCACACCGTCGAAACCCGCATGGATCTCATGCATGCATCGCACAACACCCAGTCCGCACCCCCCTACTGATCGTCAGTCACATCAGTCACCTCCCAGGCGCTCCGAACAGCCTGGTTTCCTGTGGCCATCCGGCGCATCTCAAAAAAATCCCCCTAACTTTCCCAATGCTTCACCAAATGAAAAACTGAAAATACCATTCGCTTCCTAAATTAATTCCGCATTACCCTGTATCATTTCCGCTTCTTAATGACCGCCTTTTCCCCATAATGATCGCCTGAAAGGCGTGTACCCAAACTGGCTCATTGCCGTGCAGCCCACGATGCCACAACATACAGTCCAAAATGACAGCGCCCGATACCGCCCGATTCTGCCACCGATTACCGCGATTCCTCATCACAGCGCGCCCATGCCCATTTCCCACTGAGTCATCTCCGGGGCCCGTCCGTGGAGTCGCGGAGCTGGCCACCCTGCAAACCCCCTCGCTGCCCCGCCCAGGCCTCCGGGCCGGTGCGTTTCTTCCACAGGGGCGCTGCCGCAAACCTTTCCCGGTCAGATCGGCGGGAAGCCCCTCCTCCGTAAACCCACCGGCTCAGATTGGCACGGGTGGCCTTGCGCGCAGTCTGCACCCGCCCGGACCATCGAGTCCCAGCTACTCGGGTCCGGGGCTTTGGGGGCGGGGGCTCTGGACCGAGAGGGCCCTGCCCTGCAAACGTTATGGGCAGACTGAAAGGCCTCAGGGAGGCGGTCGCTTTCCCCGGGCGGCTAACCCGCACGGAAGCGCGGAGATCACCGCGGTAAGCGGCTAAAATTCCTCCATCGCTCGCCCAGGAAGCGCATCGAGCCGCCCGGATCCCACAAGTAAGTATTGCTCGGTTTTCCGCGGGCAGATCCTTTCCTCGGCTTCCCTCGGGATGTGGGGTCGCTCGCCTGGCAGAATCGCATGGCGGTGGGGACTCGTTGCCTCGGTGGCGCAGGCCCCGAAGTCGCGGGCTCGCTGGCGTACTCTCCGTCAAGGCCGACAGTTGGCCAGTTACGCGGAGAGTCTCTGCCGGGTTGTCGCCACCTCGGGTCCTCGCTGTCAGAGTTTATGCGTTTATACCGCCCCAGCGGGCCGTGGTCGCCCATACGACTCACCCGAAGGCCATAAGTGCTCCACCATATCGGAGTCCCATACCATCCAATCCCTGGGCCTCACGGGCACCAGCTTGTCGCAACTGAATGGCGCATAATTGAGCCATAATGGACTCATTATTGGTGACCCGAGCATGGGCCCAAACTCGCCACTCCACTGGGCAAACTCCGAATGCTGCTGTCAATCTGTTACACCACCCCTGACTGTACTCGCCCAGCGTCCTGGATTACAACCGATATGGCTGCATCTGATCCTCATGAAATACATGCCTGGGCCTCCGCCCCTGAGTGTGTCCGTCCTTGCCTGGCCTGGCCCTCCAGACCGCTGGAGAAATCCGCTCTGTCAAGACATAGATGCCCTTCCAGCGAGGATCAAACTTCCTCCCTCTGTCGGCTGCTGCTACGGCATCATGCACCAACACCTGTTGCCCCACTGTGAATGTCATGGGCTTATGTAAAACCCTCTTGTCCCCCTTCTGGCGAGCTTGCACACTCCGCTCATGTGCATGCTGACGGTCAGCCTCAGAGCCATTCCATAGCTCTGTGGGCGTGTATCCAGTCACGTCATGCACCGTATTATTGATCAGCTGTAGACACTGAGGAAGAAAAAGGCTCCAGGGGGCTCGACGTCCAGTCGTCTCCATATAATGAAACCGTACCTTGCGTAGGCGGTCCACCAGTGTACGATTCAGGCGCTCCACTAGTCCAACTGCTCGATGATGGTGTGGTGGTATGAAAACTTGCGTCACTCCAGCCTTGGTACACCAACTCCGCATCTCCGCAGAAGTGTAAGCTGTGTCATTGTCTGTCACCAACACCCGAAAGTCCCCATACCGCTGTATCCACTCTCGTAGGCCTTTCAGGGCACTTCGGGTATGCGTTGAATGCAGGGCAGTCGCATGTACTCGCCTGGTAGCACTGTCAATAATGCACTGAATGTACCGGTTGCCTCCAGCTCCAGCAGGTGAG